ACCGACGACGAATCGATAAATTTGGATCTTCTTCCACACTTTCGTTTACAGCGGCGATATTCTCTTCAGTACGCTCATTCCTTCGACGTGTTGGTGTTATTGCATCCTCTAGAGAGTATGTGGTACGAAATCTATCCACAGTTCGACGAATGGCTTGTTCAGATGGACGATTATGTACGCCATAAAAATGACGAAGTCGTCTATAAGTTGCGCGAATCGACGACTGATTTTCAAAGTAAATTTGGATAATTTCGTAGCGTTGTTCAAGCGTGAGTCTATTCATGATGATTTGTCAGAGTATACTGAAACGATAAAAAAAAATATTTCATCAAAATTTAATTTTTTTGTGTTACTTTTTACAATTTAAAATTCTATCTAGCTTAAAAAAACACCCCTTATAACGGACATACGAGTAATCTTTTCAATTGTATTTTCAACCGGCTTCGTAAAAGAGAAGAGGTTTACGATTCGTCGGAATCTTTTTTTTATGTATGTACATCGATTATTCGAAGATGCCTGAACCGATTTGAAAAATTCTTTTTTTGTTTCAAAGGGTATACTTCCCCATGTGGTTCCTTTTAAATTTTATAGATATTCGGACATTGTTAGTTTTAAATCTGACATACATGGAAATTGCTGTATTTGATACGACTAATAAGATGTATACACCGACTTAACCATTTTGATACTTTTAAAGTATGTCATTATAATTACCATGTCACGTCGTCACGATAAAAAGGTATAGAATATAAGAAACAAATTTAACAATCAATTAACATTTTTTTAATTATTAAATGTTTTAATTTATTAAACTACACGTGGCTAAACATCGCAAATGAAAGATAAGGAGAATGAAGAGGCCTTTGCCCAGCAGTGGGACGCAAAAGAGATCATTAAAAAATTAACTATTAAGGATTTCTTATATTTACGCGAAAACTACAACATTAAATAAAACTAATTTTTACGAATTTTATAGCGTTTAATTTAGTTGGCGGTCCACCATTGTGTGATTTAGAAGATGTTTTCTTCCTGGCACAACTTCCTTGTTATCGATTACGACCAGCGACTTTTCCGGACCGATACGACTTAGGGACCTTCAAGAAAATAGCCTACTCCTTTTTAAAAGGCCGGCAACGCTCTGCAATTCCCCTGGTGTTGCAGTAGTTGTTCATGGGTGGCGGTAGTCAATTACCATCAGGTGAGCCGTAAATAAACATGAACATTTCGATTATATTATAGTGTACAAAAAGTCGGATAAGAAAAAATACAAAGTAACAATATCAAATAGCTTCAACATAATACATTTAAATATTATGAAAGATCAAAATTACTCATAGTAGTATCTACTTATTTATTTATTTATTTATTTAAACTTTATTGAACCTTACACATTAAGTAAAGGAACAAAAGGCGGACTTAATACTAAAAGCATTCTCTGCCAGTCAACCTTCAGACAGTGATATAACTACGAAGGCGGTTACAAAGAAAGTTTTGTTAACTTATCTTCTAGAGGTTTAATAAATCTACCGTATTCTATATTAAAACTTAAATCTCTACTTTGTATCATCCGTGGTGCCTTGTATTTCGATGTGGACACTTTTTCTATCTTGGTGAAAGGTGTGACGATATCCACGATCGGATCGGCGACGTCCAACCTGTCTCCAGCATCCTGGTACAGTCGTCTACGCGCTGGATCGTCGATTCGATCGATGTACTCTGATCGACTAATTTCTCTTGGATGGCAGACAAACTTTTTGAGATGCCTGTAACAGCACTCAACAGCGCTCGGTTGATACTCTCCTGTTTGTTGAGGTTTATGACGCTTCCAGTAAGAAGCTCTGGTGGTTTGTCGGTGTTTTGGGTAATAAAATAGCTCATGTCCACGGAGGAGGGCTGGGAAAGACACGACTTCACCATCTTGTACAGCATAATCCCAGCGACTCCCGCTAACATAACTCCTCCCACTATCGGTATCAATTGCGTCATTCTGAATGACGATTCTTCTTGCCAGGGGCCGGTGGCATTTAAAGTCGTCAGTTGTGTGCGATCAACTGAGAATAACCACCATTTGCTTGGTCGCTGTACTCGACCAGCGGACGCATCATTGTGGCGCTTATTTCTCTAAGTTCTGCAGGTTTCTCTTCCATTGTTTCGGATTTCTCTGCCGTTTCCGAGCTTTACTAAATCTAAAACGGTTGGAATTGTATCTATCTTCGTAAAGATAGCACATTTACTTTGAAAATAACACAGTATCTTATAAAAAAAAAAATGCTTTTTCACGACAAAAGCACAACAAAATTTAAGCCGCCGCCATAACAGTTTTGTGTATCACGTGACGAAAATGCTGGCTCGCGCTATTGGCTAGTCAGGACTTCGCGCGTTTTGAACTAAACTATGATGGGCTTTGCGGTGTTTGAAGCTTACTGTCTACTTTAAAATGAATTTTCTATTGGACATAGCTGTGTTTGGTAAGATCTGATAAATTGAAATTGTGCGGAAAAAAATAAAGTTGCTAGAGACAAAAACATATTGCGACACGAAAAAAATGTACTTTGCGGGTTATGAAACTATACCCCTCATATGTTTAATTTAATACAGTTTATATCTGTAATATTAACAGTTAAAAACTAAATCAATGATCTTAATTTTTTATCGAAAATTATAATATAACTAACTGTACATCTTATATTCCGTTCTAAGACTGCATAAAGGTATAAAGTTTGACCGTTGTATTGTAGCCAAAAGAAGGAAAAACCTAGCAGCTACAGCCGTCACTGTTAAAACCGCTTTAGCTAGGAGGCAATATGTAAAACAGTCTGCGACTCTATACAACGTCATTAATAAAAACATAAATATTTACCACCTTAATTACCGAAATTGCAAATATCCTCTAACCAAATGGCTATTGAATAAGAGCTATGATGATGCTGAGGCTCTTTTAAGCATCATAAAATAATGTAATTTAATTGTAACACACACACACACACACACACACGCACGCACGCACGCACGCACGCACGCACGCACGCACGCACGCACGCGTTTGCGCATAAACGCACCTTTGGCGTGAATGTAATTACTTTTATTATCTTAATTTATATAGTCAATTATTATGTATAAAGGTCATGCAAGTAGTTAATGTAAGTGCTATGGAAGAGCGGAGTCTCCTAACACAAGTTTTTATACTTAAAAGGAGACCCCGTCCCCGGTTATAATTAATGTATGATCATTTACTGAATAAACTATTTTTATTTTATTTTATTTTATTTAATATCGTATGGTCCATGCTTAAAACGGCTGGTGCAGAAGTCATAGTGTGAATTGGCTGCCATTTTTTTATACAAGAAAAAAGTTGGGGTCTGCTTTCACGGAAAGTTTATTTTAAGATGTAAAATTGATGACATTAAGTTGAAAAAATAATATCGTTCCAATGACCATCTCCATTTTATGCATCGTTGTGCTTGCTTTATTTTGTTTTGAATTTTTGCTCGCAAAACATCTGGTCTGGTTCCTGGTTTGTGGTTTGTAGTGTTATTTCAAAAAACCCACAGGAAGAAGTCTGGCGCAGTCAGATCTGGCAATCTGGTCGGCCAATTCAAATCGCCAAAACGGGAGATCACTCGGCCAATTCAAATCGCCAAAACGGGAGATCACTCGGCCTAGAAATTGATGTCTCAAAACTTTCATCGTTGCTCGAGCTGAGTGTGTGAGCGGTTGCTTCGTTCTCTCCAGACACTAAATTCAACAAATTGGTTTTATAAATACATATATAGTTGTAAATGAAAATGATTATTATTATTATTATGGTTATGGATGGTGGTTTTGTAAAAGTTGGTGGACACGTTGTGTTCAGTTTAAATAAAGATTGCCTAGCTTTGTTCATTGCACGAATATTATCTTCTTGAAGTGCGAATCGGCCTGCTTCGCAAAGATTAGGAAATTCTTTTGTTCTTAACATTGCTCCGATGTCGGAGCTATTGCTATTAATAAAAACGTTAAGAGCCGTTTTCTCGGTCGTCGCTAAGTGACCTAATAACGTCTTATCGCATATTTCAGCGTTTAACTTTTCAATTATTTTAGAGCGACAAAGGTCGACTCTGTGCAAATATTCGGTTAACGTTTATGTAGGTTTTTGGAACATGGATTGCAGTTTAAGGTTAAGGTGTGCTATGGTTTTAACGTTAGAGAATTTTTCAATAAGGAATATTCTTAAACCGGTCCATGAGACATGTTCTTTATTGTGAACGTCTGCCGCACTCGAACCAGTGATATTGTTTAACACGTATACTAAAAGTACTGACTTCTGGTCCGCTGAACTTAAGTCGAAAGCTGGATTGCATGACCTAACGAATCTGTACACTTGGTTGTTATTATCTGTGTCGAATGAGGGCATTAATTTAAGTAATGTAGTGATGTCTAAGGCTTTCTTAGGCCCTTCTCCCATTACGATACTTGTAAGGTACGATACTCGAGTAGAATACTAGTTGGATACTTGTTCGCTACCCGACGCTCGCATATTATGCTACTGAAAAATGACTAAATTTATCATTTGTGCAAACTCGTTTTTGTGGACGGACGTTATGTCGAGCGATTCTAGTGACGAAGAAGCACTTGCAGCTTTTCTGTTTTATAGAAACAGAAGACGTCAACGCAAGAGTAGAAAATACTGGATTCATCCATATATTGAAAGAAACATAAATTGTAGAGTTTTTGTAGCCGCACAAGAACTACAACATGATGATAATAAATTTTTGTCTTTCTACCGAATGTCTAAAGAGACCTACCTGCATCTTGTTACATTAATAAAGCCTGCTATACATCAACGAAATACTATATTTAGAGAGTGTGTTAGTGCGGAAGAAAGGATTCTGATAACCCTAAGGTAAATAATACTCCATTGTTACATATGTAATTAAAAATGTATATTAAATTTTTAGTATGAATCAATCAATCATCAAATTAAAACATAGGCTATTTCAATCAATTATAAAAATTATTACTTATTCTTCATCTTCCTGTGATAAAAACATAGGTATTGATTCATAATATAGTGTGGCAGTATTTGATTGTACACTTTCATTTATGGTATTTGGCGTACTTATTGCCCTGTCAGTCGGTGAAGGAGTAGATAAAAGTGTGATGGGACTACTTTGGTCCATAATATCGTCTATCAATTCAAGCACTCTCCTCTTAAACAGTCTTCTTTGATTATCATTCAATTTATTCACGTCCGACAGTAAACTCAGTAAAAACATTTTGTTTGAATTTTCAGTACTGTCACAGTTTTCTATAATTTTAGATCGTTTCAATTTAAAATAAGCTGCAATATCTTGCTCAGCTTGAGTTTCTTCAAGCTTCTTCCGTTTTCTTTTATTGCTTGTTGCTGGTGGTAATTGGTGTCGCAAGATTGATTGAGTGCTTGTTGGAGGAAGAGATGAATGCTGTTGCGAGATCGATTGAGTGCTTGTAGGTACACTTTCTGTGAACTGTGTTTGTTCGCATAGTTCAGGAGACTGTGGTTGCAATGTGTCATTATCTTCTATTGTCTCGTTCAAATTTCCTGATGGTTTTCCTGCTGTTTTTATGAACGGTATAGTAAATTGCATAAAATCAGCTAAGTAGTATGGTTTTTTTTGCGCAGTCCCTGCTCCACTTTTAGGCGGTTTCAAATGGCGAACAAAAACACTACGTAGATTTTTCCACTTTTCTTTAGCTTCTGATCCTGAAAATAACCTTAATATTAATTGTTATTAATTACAGATATTTGGGATCAGGTTGTTCATTTGTAAGCCTAGGATTGTATTTTGCAAGAGGAGATAATACAATTTGCAAGGTCATAGCTGAAACTACAGTTATAATATGGGAGATATTAAATAGAGACTATATGCCATTACCAAATGTGCAACATTGGAAAGACATTGCTGCTCGTTTTGATCGCCTCTGGAATTTACCCAACTGCTTAGGGGCATGTGATGGTAAACACATCAGAATAGAAAAATTACCTAATTCGGGATCAAGTAATTTTAATTACAAATCCTACCATTCGATAGTATTAATGGCATGTTGTAATGCCGATGGATTATTTACTGTTATCGAAACTGGCTATGCTGGTAGGAACAGCGACGGTGGAATCTTCAGTGCTTCCAGGATCAAACGTTGGATTGAACATGGACGTCTTAATATTCCTTTACCTTCCAAACTTCCTAATGACCCATCTAACTATGAATTTCCATACTATTTTATTGGGGATGAGGCATTTCCCCTTCTATCTTACTTCATGAGACCATATCCCCAAAGAACCTTAAATGACTTGAGAAGGGTGTTTAACTACAGAATAAGCCGAGGGAGGAATACAATTGAATGTGCTTTTGGACTGAGAAATTTCAAGTATTAAGTACAGCTATAAGATGTCATACAATAGAAAAAGTATCAAATATAATAAAAGCAGTGTGTATTTTACACAACTTTGTTCGACAACATGAGGGTATTCTATATAGTCCAAGGGAGGTAATACAAAACAGATCGGTCACTATTCCCGTTACTATGACTATACAACCTCAAAATATAGAAATAACTGCAACTATGTCACCACACAACCAACGAAATTATTTAGCAAACTACTTTATATCTGAGCAAGGTTCATTGCCTTGGCAATACCAATACTGTTTACAAAATACAATGTAACATTGATTAATAAACTACTTATTATGTATAAACAAAACAAACCTGTTATTTGAAATTTATTCCCAATTTCTGCCCAAGTCCTATCTATTGTATTTTTCCGCATGTATTCTGGTAATTTGTAGTTATATAAACAAGCATGTTTTTCAACTTCTTGTACAAACTTAATATTTATTTCTTGCTCCGCCGCCATCTTGTCGAGACGCACAGGAGACGCGACGCACAAGCGACCAACACAGCGAGTCGCGCGATACTAGTCGCGGACGCGTAGGATACCAGTAGCGTAGTGTGCGAGCCTGCATTCAAATGTATGTGAGATACTTGGCGGCGACTAGTCGCCAAGACTTGCAGGATACTTGAATCGCCTGTGCGTATCGTAATGGGAGAAGGGCTTTAGGGTTCTTTTGAGATTGTTTTACACAGGCAATGAATAATTGATATAGAGAATTATAATATAGTAGTATACAATAGAATAGTATGATTATATTTAAAAAAATGAATGTGAATGAGGTGGGAGATGTAGGAAAATATTTTGCTAAAAATGGAAAAATAGTAATTCGAACAAACAAGTTTAGCCACTTACCACAGTAACAATAAAATGTTGAGCTGCATGGTTCGGCGAAGTTCTTCAACAGCCTTCAGCTACCGTACGTTGCCTTCTTGTTGGCCGATGCTGTCCCGTCGAATTTTCTACGTTTTTACTTCGTCTTTACGCGATTTAAGCGAATGAATCACAGGTGAGCCGCATGCTCGTTTTTATGGTACATAAAAATCTCGTCAAAACTTGGGGATCGGCTTACGTAAATAAACATGAACATTTCGAATATATTATAGTGTACCAAAAGTCGGATAAGAAAAAATACAAAGTAACAATATCAAATAGCTTCAACATAATAAATTTAAATATTATGAAAGATCAAAATTACTCATAGTAGTATCTACTTATTTCTCTAAGTTCTGCAGGTTTCTCTTCCATTGTTTCGGATTTCTCTGCCGTTTCCGAGCTTTACTAAATCTAAAACGGTTGGATTTGTATCTATCTTCGTAAAGATAGCACATTTACTTTGAAAATAACACAGTATCTTATAAAAAAGAAATACTTTTTCACGACAAAAGCACAACAAAATTTAAGCCGCCGCCATAACAGTTTTGTGTATCACGTGACGAAAATGCTGGCTCCGCGCTATTGACTAGTCAGGACTTTGCGGTTTTTGAACTAAACTATGATGGGCTTTGCGGTGTTTGAAGCTTACTGTCTACTTTAAAATGAATTTTCTATTGGACATAGCTGCGTTTGGTAAGATCTGATAAATTGAAATTGTGCGGAAAAAAAAGTTACTAGAGACAAAAACATATTGCGACATGAAAAAAATGTACTTTGCGGGTTATGAAACTATACCCCTCATATGTTTAATTTAATACAGTTTATATCTGTAATATTAACAGTTAAAAACTAAAACAATGTTCTTAATTTTTTATCGAAAATTATAATATCGTATGGTCCATGCTTACAACGGCTGGTGCAGAAGTAATGTCATAGTGTGAATTGGCTGCCATTTTTGTATAAAAGAAAAAAGTTGGGGTCTGCTTTCACGCACAGTTTATTTTAAGATGTAAAATTGATGACATTAAGTTGAAAAAATAATATCGTACCAATGACCATCTCCATTTTATGCATCATTGTGCTTGCTTTATTTTGTTTTGAATTTTTGCTCGCAAAATATCTGGTCTGGTTCCTGGTTTGTGGTTTGTAGTGTTATTTCAAAAAAACCACAGGAAGAAGTCTGGCGCAGTCAGATCTGGCAATCTGGTCGGCCAATTCAAATCGCCAAAACGGGAGATCACTCGGCCTAGAAATTGATGTCTCAAAACTTTCATCGTTGCTCGAGCTGAGTGTGTGAGCGGTTGCTTCGTTCTCTCCAGACATTAAATTCAACAAATTGCGGCAAAAAAAAAACTCGCTCAATATCAGTCTGTTATGGACTGCTGTCGGCGTCCTCAAATAAAGAGTCAATTACTTTTTCCCTGCATATGTCACATCAAACAGTAAATTTGAGAGTATGCAATGGCTTTTCGTAAGTTACATGTGAATTCTCCGTGCCCCAGAAACGCAAAGGCTGCCTTGTGCATCTGAGCTCGACAAAGAAAACAAACTACTGCTTACAATAAAAACTGCAACTTTATATTATTATTATAACGGGGTATCTATAAAGTTTTCTCATCTGGTTGGGCTGTATAAATATATAGTTGTAAATGAAAATGATTATTATTGTTGTGTATCTATAATCTATAATAACGGGGTATCTATAAAGTATTCTGATCTGGTTGGGCTATATAAATATATAGTTGTAAATGAAAATGATTATTATTATTATTATGATTATGGATGGTGGTTTTGTAAAAGTTGGTGGACACGTTGTGTTCAGTTTAAATAAAGATTGCCTAGCTTTGTTCATTGCACGAATATTATCTTCTTGAAGTGCGAATCGGCCTGCTTCGCAAAGATTAGGAAATTCTTTTGTTCTTAACATTGCTCCGATGTCGGAGCTATTGCTATTAATAAAATCGTTAAGAGCCGTTTTCTCCGTCGTCGCTAAGTGACCTAATAACGTCTTATCGCATATTTCAGCGTTTAACTTTTCAATTATTTTAGAGCGACAGAGGTCGACTCTGTGCAAATATTCGGTTAACGTTTATGTAGGTTTTTGGAACATGGATTGCAGTTCAAGGTTAAGGTGTGCTATGGTTTTAACGTTAGAGAATTTTTCAATAAGGAATATTCTTAAACCGGTCCATGAGACATGTTCTTTATTGTGAACGTCTGCCGCACTCGAACCAGTGATATTGTTTAACGCGTATACTAAAAGTACTGACTTCTGGTCCGCTGAACTTAAGTCGAAAGCTGGATTGCATGACCTAACGAATCTGTACACTTGGTCGTTATTATCTGTGTCGAATGAGGGCATTAATTTAAGTAATGTAGTGATGTCTAAGGCTTTCTTAGGGTTCTTTTGAGATTGTTTTACACAGCCAATGAATAATTGATATAGAGAATTATAATATAGTAGTATACAATAGAATAGTAAGACTATATTTAAAAAAATGAATGTGAATGAGGTGGGAGATGTAGAAAAATATTTTGCTAAAAATGGAAAAATAGTAATTCGAACAAACAAGTTTAACCACTTACCACAGTAACAATAAAATGTTGAGCTGCATGGTTCGGCGAAGTTCTTCAACAGCATTCAGCTACCGTACGTTGCCTTCTTGTTGGCCGATGCTGTCCCGTCGAATTTTCTACGTTTTTACTTCGTCTTTACGCGATTTAAGCGAATGAATCACAGGTGAGCCGCATGCTCGTTTTTATGGTACATAAAAATCTCGTCAAAACTTGGGGATCGGCTTACGTAAATAAACATGAACATTTCGAATATATTATAGTGTACCAAAAGTCGGATAAGAAAAAATACAAAGTAACAATATCAAATAGCTTCAACATAATAAATTTAAATATCATGAAAGATCAAAATTACTCATAGTAGTATCTACTTATTTCTCTAAGTTCTGCAGGTTTCTCTTCCATTGTTTCGGATTTCTCTGCCGTTTCCGAGCTTTACTAAATCTAAAACGGTTGGATTTGTATCTATCTTCGTAAAGATAGCACATTTACTTTGAAAATAACACAGTATCTTATAAAAAAGAAATACTTTTTCACGACAAAAGCACAACAAAATTTAAGCCGCCGCCATAACAGTTTTGTGTATCACGTGACGAAAATGCTGGCTCCGCGCTATTGACTAGTCAGGACTTTGCGGTTTTTGAACTAAACTATGATGGGCTTTGCGGTGTTTGAAGCTTACTGTCTACTTTAAAATGAATTTTCTATTGGACATAGCTGTGTTTGGTAAGATCTGATAAATTGAAATTGTGCGGAAAAAAAAGTTACTAGAGACAAAAACATATTGCGACATGAAAAAAATGTACTTTGCGGGTTATGAAACTATACCACTCATATGTTTAATTTAATACAGTTTATATCTGTAATATTAACAATTAAAAACTAAAACAATGTTCTTAATTTTTTATCGAAAATTATAATATCGTATGGTCCATGCTTACCACGGCTGGTGCAGAAGTAATGTCATAGTGTGAATTGGCTGCCATTTTTTTATAAAAGAAAAAAGTTGGGGTCTGCTTTCACGGACAGTTTATTTTAAGATGTAAAATTGATGACATTAAGTTGAAAAAATAATATCGTACCAATGACCATCTCCATTTTATGCATCATTGTGCTTGCTTTATTTTGTTTTGAATTTTTGCTCGCAAAATATCTGGTCTGGTTCCTGGTTTGTGGTTTGTAGTGTTATTTCAAAAAAACCACAGGAAGAAGTCTGGCGCAGTCAGATCTGGCAATCTGGTCGGCCAATTCAAATCGCCAAAACGGGAGATCACTCGGCCTAGAAATTGATGTCTCAAAACTTTCATCGTTGCTCGAGCTGAGTGTGTGAGCGGTTGCTTCGTTCTCTCCAGACACTAAATTCAACAAATTGCGGCAAAAAAAAACTCGCTCAATATCAGTCTGTTATGGACTGCTGTCGGCGTCCTCAAATAAAGAGTCAATTACTTTTTCCCTGCATATGTCACATCAAACAGTAAATTTGAGAGTATGCAATGGCTTTTCGTAAGTTACATGTGAATTCTCCGTGCCCCAGAAACGCAAAGGCTGCCTTGTGCATCTGAGCTCGACAAAGAAAACAAACTACTGCTTACAATAAAAACTGCAACTTTATATTATTATTATAACGGGGTATCTATAAAGTTTTCTCATCTGGTTGGGCTGTATAAATATATAGTTGTAAATGAAAATGATTATTATTGTTGTGTATCTATAATCTATAATAACGGGGTATCTATAAAGTATTCTGATCTGGTTGGGCTATATAAATATATAGTTGTAAATGAAAATGATTATTATTATTATTATGGTTATGGATGGTGGTTTTGTAAAAGTTGGTGGACACGTTGTGTTCAGTTTAAATAAAGATTGCCTAGCTTTGTTCATTGCACGAATATTATCTTCTTGAAGTGCGAATCGGCCTGCTTCGCAAAGATTAGGAAATTCTTTTGTTCTTAACATTGCTCCGATGTCGGAGCTATTGCTATTAATAAAATCGTTAAGAGCCGTTTTCTCCG